ATATATAACGTAGTATAGCCGGGCGGCTATACCCTTTTTCTAGATTAAAAACCCAGAGTATAGCCGGACGGCTATACTATTAATATAACAAAGGGACCCCGAGTCTTTAGCGCCCACTTCACCACGCGTCAAAAACGGCCCCATTAAAGCCGCACGGCTAAACTCGGTTTTTGGAAAGAAAAAAAATTAGGGCTTGTTCAATATAGGTCCCTACATTTTCTATTTCCTAGACATATACCCATCGCTTTATAAATCTATGTGTAAAACCCAATTTCAAACTTAAATGACTAGTTAGATATAAGAGGTCATAGTATTCATATGATTTTACATTGTTGCCACAAGACTTCATATTTTATTTATAATTTATTTCAAGCATTTCATTAACTGCCATAATTGTAATTAATATTTTATCCAATAGGTACATAATTTACCCATAGGTAAATTATTTTACAATATAACTATAAATGCGTATAGGTAAATGTAGAGGCATAGGTTGCTAAGAAAAAATGTAGGTAAATTCATGTACCTAAACACATAGAGGTCAAATAGAGAGCAACATGTTATTTCCCTTTGAACAAATTAATTTCAAACCATAACAATTATTAAATTTGGAAATTGGTATAAATAAAAGGAAATCAATAAGCTATCAATTTGAAAATTAAATACGAAATGATCAAGTAGTCAATTTTATATTTTTTATTTAAACGAGTATATTCTTAGTTTTTTTGGCTGTGGTGACTGATGAAAATCCTTCTGTGGTGACTGAACAAACGGCATTCTTTTGATGAACCACTGACCAAGGCCCAGGACAGATGCAGCCAACCATGATGACATGAACAAGGGCATGCTTGACTTTAAACTCCGCATATTTAATGAATATGACGAAACCATGTTTTGTCTTAATTTAGGAGTAGATTTTCTTTTCGAACTTCAAATATCGACCATATGGAAAATCCCAGCAACATCAAATCCCAACACAAATAAATAACTAATGTGAGTTACAGTATACCAATGGAAAGAATGGGGTTAAAGGAAATGTGCTACTGAATCAAAGCCTACTTACTTACTACTTACCAAAAATGTTGATTCCAAGTTGAGCATACCCCTCAGAAAAAGGGAAAGATATATATATATTATAAACACATGGAAACAATCTGCTAAGTCGTTGGTCCTATCACCTCCAATCCAAATCATTCCATCTGTCAGCATGTCAAAACTAAGCATAAATTCAACAACTACTTCTTCTAAATTTCAAGAATAATCTAAAATCAAAGAACTTGTATGCTTGCAAGAAAACAACCTTAAACACAAACTGATTAGACCCTCACCAGAACATATAATGATTATAATTGATGGTTTTACACACCAACATACATGTATCAACTGTAAATTAGAATTCCATATCTACTTGCCCTCCCCTCACCACTAATGCTATGGCAAGTGTCAATGGTGGTTTCATTACTTCTGTAAAATAAGTAAGGAAGGATTAAGTAATAAAATTGTGAAACTACTTTCATATATAACTTCTTTATCAAGAAAATTAGAA